CCCCAGGCTTGACAGCCACTGTGTCTACTCAGACTCTGATGGCATAAGCCAACTGACTAGACTCCTCTCCTAGTCACATCTACAGCCTATTAAGAGGACTTCTGGGGGACCATGTGAATACAATCACTGTCCTGCCAAAAAGTTCTAGTGTCACATAAAAATTGAGTTAAATATAAAAGGAAAGTTAAAAATTGCGTTTCTCTAGACATAACTCTGATGTTTTACAAAGGACACACTCTCTCTATGCTAGACCATAGGAATGTTAAATAACACAAGAAGCCATGACCATGAGCCCTGTCATTGACCCACACTCTACTTATGGAAAAAGCTATTTCTTCTCTTTGATAACTAAAAACAAAAGCTCAGGACGAGAAATACTTTTCTTGGTTTGAGAGGTAATGTGAGGTTTTGCACCTAAGTGATCCTGTTCCAATTTTGGGGTGAGGTGTTGGGAGCCTTTATCACTTATTACAGAAGTAGCGATTAACATTCTAGGTATCAACTCCAGAATGTTTGTTAATATGATTGGGCTGTATATAGAATATATACTGGGTGATTTGCATTCTCAAATAGGCCCCAGAGAAAGGAATTCCTTCTCCTGGGTGTCAGTGGTAAGAGTGCCCCACCGCTCACCGAGACTGAAGCAGCAGTCTCTAGATCTCACACTACGTAGCCTTAGTTTTTCCCTCTGATATAGCGCTGAGAAGTCTCCTTCAATCAGTTAACTGCACATTTTGCAAGTTGCATTCCCTCTGAGACTTGAGTTTGCCCTGCCAAGACATGAGACACTTTTATCAAAATCTTATCTACCTCCCTGGCTCTGAGAGACGCACAGTTGTCAGAGAGTTGTTAAACGTGTCTGTGGGTATATAACTGGAATCCTTGTAGGAAGAAAAGGAACTTTTGGAGAATTCTTAAAAGAAACTTTGAAAGAATTTTTAGAAGGAACTTTTGGAGAACTTTCAGAAAGAACTCTATGAGAATTTTTAAGGAGAACTTTTGAAAAAGAACTTTAAGAGAGAGTTTATCTTGGGAAAATTATTAGAACTTTCAAGTTGAAAACCTAAAGAGAGCTTTTGAGAGGAACCCCCTTCATTGAAGAATAAATAGCCATGAGAAAAGTGATACGTGAACGAACTGATTCATTGGCCTTCAAAACTTTTTAGTTACCCCAACCTGCCTGCTGCAAGCCTCCTGCCTCGAGAGTGAGGTCTGTTCCAAAGACCTAAGTGGTGAGGCTTGGTCTCAGCTGGGTGCAGCCGCTGAGCAATTGCTACTCCTGAGATTCTGACCTCCCCAGTCACCCATGTGACTCCACTGCTGGAAGGTGACAGAAACCTTTGGAAATAGGGTCTCATTGGAGAAAGCAGGTCACTGGACTGGGGTTTTTGTCCCGGGTCCCTCTCTGCTCTTTCTGCTCCTTAGCTGACTTGAGGTGAGCAGCTTTGCCAGTCTCAGGCACAAAGCCATGGGTCCAGCTGACCTTGGACAATCAAGCTGCCCCCGTACAGTATGTGGCACAGAAAGGGGAAAGGAAGAGAACTTGAAACTGACTGTCCTCTTTGAGTAGAACAAGAAGAAGGAAAAAACAAACAAACAAACAAACAAACAAGGCAAGGACAAGCACAGTAAGTAGGCAACAAAGAAGAAAACTAAACACGAGAAGGTGCACAGGACCACAGCTGGTAGAGTCAGGGGACACCCAGGCAAACAGACAAATGCACAGAACATTAGAGCTCATAGCTACGGCCTCACTTTGAAAGGAACATGGAAGAATCTGGTTCAGAAGCTACATAATTTGACGGAAGAGAGGGAGGAAGGGTGGAAGGGGGGGAGGGTGGACGGGCAGGCGGGAGGCAGGTTACATTTTGACGTAATTCTGAGAAAAAAGTTGTAGCAGTATGACTATGAGGGAAAAAAATGGTTCTTGCAGGGGAGAAAACATCTTTCACACATCTTGGCTGTCGCAGAATTTACTTGGAAACCAGAGTCTTTTCTCATGTATCTACCAAAGAGCAAAGAATATGTTCTAAATCAGGCAGGAAACAAAACCCAGTTTCGCCACCCATGTCAGGAGCAGGTCTTCCCACCATACTTCATCTGCCCTCACTGCTGAATGCAGAACTGGCCAGCTCTGACTTCTCCAAAGACAGGTGGCTGTGACGTGTCCCTCACCAGCAAGTTCCAGAGGCTTCCGGGGTGTGTTAGCCAGATGTTTGCCACCTGCACAGAACTTGGTCCCCACACTGGACTCTCCTGAGCACACCCTATGGTTGAGCTCTCCTCTGCCCCGGCAGGGCCCACAGGGAAGTCTCCAGCTTCCTGGGGCTTCATCACTTCAGCAAGGGCATCAGGCCCATCTATGTACACTGCAGTGTTTGTTGCTTTTTCTTTACTTTTTCTTTTGTTTTTGTTTTACAACTGGGTCACATAAATGAATGCTGTTGTTTGAGATGGCCTTGATGGCTACAGTTTTTAAGTGATGATTGACTATATTTAA